AGGTTTCTGGCTTGTTTAGTCTTGTCAGTGCCAGATATGGCTTTTACGAGGCAGGGCAAAGGCAACCAACTATCCTTTACTAATATAGTGTGGGGTACAATGAGGGGAATTTATCATAACTGGAGCAGACAAAAACTGGAGCAGCTGTGCATGGCAACCAATCAGCTTCTCTCTTCAGTTTGTTCCATTAAGTTTTGAAAATGAGACAGAGAAGCTGATTGGTTGCCATGCACAGCTGCTCCAGATTTTGTCTGCTCCAGTTTTTATAAATCCCCTCAATGCATTCTGTGCTTGTATTGTTCATTTTTGTTTTGGTGGGATGAGATAAGGTGTGATCACCCTAACAGACTTTACTGCTTTCCACTTATATCTACAGACAATCTACTAAGGGGGCGGTTACATCACAATCACCCTTTGGTGCAGGCTGGACAAATCCAAAGGTCCAGGTCGCCAGTGCTCCTTAAAAAATTAAAGCTGGCACCTAGCTTTTGAGGTTTTCCTCAATAGAGTTGGCCTCTAAAAAATCATGCTGGCTCCTGCATTGAACAGACTGGCTTCTGAATTCCATATGAGTTTTTCCACCCCTTCCCTAGTGGATTCTGTGGCCTAACCACATTCACGCTGCTTTTAAGATTGTAATGTAGTATTATACTCTAAAAACAAATTCAGTAATTAACCCAAATCAAACAAATATACATTGCCCAGCAGAATATTTTTTTAAAGTTTTGCCCAAACACTTACAGCCATCATGTTTCCAAACAGCTCCACCTCTCTCCGCTCAGCTTCCCTGAACTTCCCGTCCAGTAAGAGATCATAAAGGGCAGAGCAGTCTCCAGCAGCCATCCATCTACTAGTTTGAAGGATGGTGGAGCAGGGAGCTGAGTAGTGGATTGACTTGCTCTGTCTGTGTGTTTGTGGGGACTCATCTCTTCAGGGAAAGCCTATGCCACCTCTACCTAACAACTGAACTATTATTTTTTCAAACAACTCATCCCTACACAGCTACCACATTTTGTATCACTTGCCCCTTCCTTTTAGATTGTAAACTCTCAGGATCAGGGCCCTCCTAACCACCTTGTCTTTATTTGTATTGCAGCTGTACTGTCTCTCTCTATATTGTAAAGCTATATATAAATCCTGTATAATAATAATACTTAATGAGTTGCTGATCTAAAACAGGTACTTACCTATTAAGAGAACCTGTCACTGTGCTCTGCATGGTCACAGTGACAGATTCTTTTTAAAGTACCATAATTTGCCAAACACATTAAATTGAATGCTACTGCATCTAGTGCGAGTGTGTTCTTTGGGAAATGTGTATATTATACCCAACACAATAAGGTCCATGAAGTTCTACAAGGCTGCAGTGATGGTCAGACCATATTGTATTTCTGCCCCATTTACGATGTACCTTTCACTGTGTTCAGTCAGTTCGGGAGGGCCCTCGTTGGGAGGATTTACTGTTACATGGAAGAACAGATGTTGTTTCGGTCTCTTCTTCCTCGTCACACCCGCTGCTCACTGTTCTGAGAAGGTCGCATATTCATTTATTAGGTATAATTGGTCCCTCATCTACGTTGCTCACCTGCATCATTACCCTCCAAGTGCGCCACGCTTCACTGGCAAATTAGCGCCGTACTTTGGGACCTCGTTATCCCTTTATCCAAATGGCCTCATTTAAAAGAGAAAAGCTCATGTTATGAAGGGCAATTACACATTAAGTGTTATGTATAATTTTCATCTGTCTGATGTCTGGAGATACAAGCCACAGGGCTGTATTTAACCTCGGGATGTGGAGCCCAAGCTGCCGCAAGGGCTGAGCCACCGTGCAATGATTTCCCTCTCTACCAAAGTCTAGACTTTTTTTTCCCAACTTGTAACTCTATTGTATCCTGAAACCAAATATTTGACAGACCACCTTAAACCATATCATTTTATGTAATAAGGTAGCACCCCTCAATTTGTCCTGTGCAACACTTTGTAACATCGGAGGCCAGTTACCCCTCATCCCAGGCAATTGTATCCCAAATACTTCAAAATGTATTTATTGCTGGCATCCTGGGTATCTATATAATTTGTTTTTAACCTATAATATAACTTTTGAAGTTTAGAAAATATGACATGTGGGTGATACCCCCACATATTCAGGACATATTGTGCTTTTAGTCTAAGGGGAATACATTATTCCGTAGACTACTGGCAGCTGGTTCATTGGTCTTCTTTGCTCTCACCACAGAATGTGGGCAGGCCCTCAACATCCTACAATGCATTGTATGTAAGGACATTGGCAACAGGGAAGGCGACACAACCTTAGAAAATAATTTTGGCTTGTGGGACCAGTCATCACTACCAAAACTGGTGAAGAGGAATCCTGTGGGACCCTAGAATAAGATAAGCAATCTTCTCTATTAAACCCCCCTAGACTTAATGGGTGTCTGTGGTCAAAAACTACAACCCCAATTCCAATAGAGTTGCGAAGCTGTGTAAAATCTACATAAAAACAGAATGCAATGATTTGCAGATTTTACACAGCGTCCCAACTTTTTGGGAATTGGGGTTGTAAAACCAAATATTTATTTATATATATATCCCACCCCTAATAACTATATCCATCTATATACTCACTTATTGAAGATGCCCATTAGATGTTCTTCCTCAATGCACTGACACAGTTTCACTTAGTCCTCTGAATAAGGACTATGTCCTCTGAAAGAGCCTGCCTTCTAAACTACATCTCAACATCTGAACAATGTATCATTACCTTTGCTTGCTGGAAACAATGCATGATGGAATATGTAGTCTTGGGAAATTGAGATTGTACCACATCAAGCAGCAGGGAAAGAGATGCAAAGCACACTGGGAATCCAGGACATTAATGAAAGTGATGGGCAGATAGAAGGCAGCATTCACTACATAAAATTGATTTTTTTTTCAAGTAAGCTTCGATTGCATTATCAAAAACAACTCTGGTATGTATTCCTATTACAATGCTGATGGTATAACAGGATCTTAGACTTTTGAACTCCTTTGTTTAAGCTGACCAGAATTTAGAAAAGAAAGAATAAGAGTGATCCTTTCACTATGCACACAGTACATACAATCCTCCTACTGACTCCAGAGTTGTCAAGGCACTACAAATGTAATGAATCCATATGTGATATACAGCATACAGTAAATTTATAGTAAATATATTAAGAGAAACTTCTAGTGAGAGCAGGGTCATAACTAGAAATCACAGGGCCCCATAGCAAAATTTTGTATGGGGCCCTGTGATTTCTAGTTATGCCCACCTGATAACCCAAACAGCCCACCTAAGGGTGACCCTGCAGAGCCCACCATAGACGCTGTAACGTAGGCTCTGCAGGGTCTCAGGTGGGTGGTCAAGCCCTCTTACCTGTCAGCCCTGATCCTCTTTCCGCCTCCTTCTCCTCCACGGTCGACTCCTCCGTCACTGGGCCCCGCCTCCTCGATCGCCGTGTTCCGCCCCCTCGATCGCCGTGCCCCGCCCCCTCGATCGTCGGGCCCCACCCCCTCGATCGCCGGGCCCCGCCTCCTCGATCACTGCCGATGACGGGCCCAGCCACCTCCTGCGAAGCTGCTAGTTGTCACCAACTCAGCAGCGGCTGTGAGAAGGAACGGAGCGTTTCTCCTCACAGCCGCCAGTGACAGCCAGCAGCCTGGCTGTCCGAGCAAGATGCCATAGCGACCCAGGCGGCCCGCATGGCATCAGGGAGATGTCCTGGCCGGGCCCCGCCGTGCCTCGGGCCCCATAGCGGCCGCCTGGGTCGCTATGGTGATTGTTACGCCACTGAGTGAGAGAATATGGAGGCTTTCATTGCTGAATTTACCTTTTGACAAGGTTGCATGGCTGTCACACTGATCCAATGACCTCAGTACTTTGAGTCTCTGGCTTCGAACGAGATCAGGAGTTTTTTACATCAATTTTCTTCATCTCCTTTCTAATCTCTATGTTTCTTTCAGGTCAATTACTCAAGAAGCATTGAAGCCAGAGACAGAGTTTTCTAGGACAGCGGTCGCCAACCTTTCGGAACTCATGGACAATTAAATTCATAATTTTAAATCCCACGGACCACTAATATGAGTTTTTTTAAAACATATATATATTCTCATATTTTTTGTTTCCTCATTTATAAATATATTCTCATATGTGTGTATCTATCTATAGATATAGCACTGCCCCCAACCACCCCTTCTCCCACAATGAGCCACTATTACCTGGCTTCTCCCCACTTTTTCTATGTCACGCAGCCTGCTCAGTCAAAGTACTGACGAGATGCCCCGCCTCCTGCAGGGCCCGTACTGTACTAAGAGCCGCGCATTCCTTGTGACAGCCGCTGCTTGAGTCAGTGAGAGGGAGCCTCCGTGCCTCTTCAATGACGGCCCAGCCTGCACAGCATCAGAGGGGCGTGGGGACCACCAACATTTTCTCGCTGACCACCATTTGGCAACTGCTGTTCTAGGAGGAAGTCAGAAATGGCAGCTCCCATTTCTTTCACCACGTGTTTCCTTGTAGTGAAGAAAACGTATAAGCTGAAGACTAACCGCTGAATATACAGATTAAATGAATGTATTAGAGCTGTTTTCTCTGCCAGAACATCTGAAATCCTGCTCAGCCAGTCTTATGAGGCAACTTTTCTCTATTGCAGTTTAGCATTATATCTTGGTCACCACACTAACCCTCAGGCAGTTGATTGAACAATGAAGGAACAGCAGCACAATGGTCACCTCAGTGTTGTCCCCTCCTGTAAGCATGATCACAGTGTTAGTTTAAAGGCATTTTGCAAAGCAGTAGAGCCTGACTCGCTGACAATTCTGACCATCAGCTTCCCAGTGTGAATCCTCCCTCACAGGGGATTACAGAATTTAGACATTTATATTTGATATACTGAAAAATGTAGTTCACTTTTTGAGCACATACCTGAACTTATATACAAGTTAATTTTCAACAGAATTATTTATTGTCTTGTCTCATATTTTAGGATTCGGCAGGCTGGCCTAAAGTTACGCTTTTGCACAAACGAGTCGCAGGCCACACGGAGCCAGTTTGTCCATAAACTGCAGCGATTTGGCTTCAACATCTCCGCAGAAGAAGTTACTGCTCCTGGCCCTGCAGCAAAAAGGCTGATGCAAGAACGTGGACTGAGGCCACATTTGCTGATCCATGATGGTAATACACGCCTTCAAACAAGCTTTTTAAGCATACATTCTGCTTCCTGCACTTTGTGTATATACTGGAGATATATTTATATATGTACTGCATATAATATAGATGGATATCTAGAGAGATATCTTTAAAAATAAATAAAAGTAATGATCTGTCCGCCAAATGTATTTTCCTTACCTCCAGTACTACCATCCACACGCGTGCTCCTATCTCTGCACTAGTGCTTACCTCTGCACTATGACTGGAGAACAAATGGGAATTGACATACAATTTTCTACCTAGCCAATCCAAATTTAATCCGAGAGCGATGCCTCAAGAAAGTCTATGATGGTCATTTTAAGGTATGCACCGAATTTTCAAACAAAAAATTTCGGCCGAAAATTATACTTTGGGTAGATTGCCAAAAGTAAAAATTTTTGGCCAAAAATGCGCTGCATCTCTAGTTTCTTTCCGCTGGGCAATGCTCTGTGTTCCCTTGGATTCCCACTGCCCCCCCTTGCCTGTGTCGGCAGAGGCCACAGAGATTGGTGGGGACACAGGGCAGCGCCCCCAGTGGGTAGGAGAGAAACTTTCAGGAAGCTTAGTGGGGAGGGGAGGAGAGTGCTGTCAGCGTTATCACAGGAGGCTGAGCTCTTCTCCCTGCACCGCTCTCTATCCTGATTTGCTTGTCACAGAAGGCCGAGCGAGGCGGGGAGGAGACAGCTGTCACAGGAGGCCGAGCTGGCGGTGCCAGGAGGGGAGCGCTGTCCCCAGAGCCCCCGACAGGAAAGTTAAAAAAAAATGAATCAAAAAAATTAACTATTAAAACTTTTTTTCTAAATGTTAGAAAAAAAAAAATTTCGGTTTCGGTCTGACACATTTTTTTATTTTCGGTTTCAGTCTAAAAATTCAATTTTGGTGCACCTCTAGTCATTTGTGACAAGTTTTACATCTTAATGAGGATCTTTTATTAAATATGTATATATATATACTTTTCTGGGAGCCTCCAGCCCCCCAAAATTAATCTACAGTAAGTAAAAACTGCAAAAATAAACAATCTGAAGAAAAATTCTTACCTCGGACCGCTTCTGGGAGCCACCAGTGATGTCACTGTGCCTTACTGCTGCCACCTTGTGGAGCTGGGTAATCAAAATCCCTGGAGCATGTACTATACCCCTGCACTGTGCTTGTGTGCATTCTCACTCAACTTCATTTACTCAACTCGCCCAGGAGGCAGCGCTGTCACTGGCTACAAAAGCCAGAGTCCATGGTAAGTATTTTTTCCTTCAAAGGGTTTCATTTTTCAGCTTTTATTAGTGTTTTATTTTTATTAAAGCCGACATTTTTATGCAAGTTTCCCTTTACTTTGTCCCTGAAATAGTTTAAATTCCTGCACTGGTCCCTGTAAGTCTATGGATACCAAAGGGATAAAGTAACTTTGCCTATTTGTCCAGATATTGGAAGGGTAGCCATACATGTTTAGGGCCTCCTTGGGGGACATTATAAGTGCTTCCACTCATTGGGAGCTTCCTTATCTCTCCCAAATATTTATTTTCAATGAGAATGGGCAGTACTTTTTTATTAAACCACAGGGGTGCCACTTTATATCCGCCGTTGTGCATGTGACGCATTTATGGATGCTTGAGCAGTAACTTCCTCCCTTCTCACAGATCTCCTCCCGGAGTTTGACTCCATCGATAAGTCTGAGCCCAATTGTGTTGTGATTGGAGACGCAGCCGAGAACTTTTCCTATCAGAATGTAAATCGAGCATTTAATGCGCTAATCGGCCTAGAGAAACCCGTTCTCATATCTCTAGGAAAAGGGTGAGTGTTTTGTGTTTTGCCTTTTTCCAATTTCAGGGACATTTCATTACATATAGTATACCCACAGCTGTGAATTTTGAATGTTATAGGTATATGTTTCCGTTTATAAAATCTGCATGCACATCTTTAATAAGGCAAAGATGCCCACCAAGGGAAACCAATCAGTGAACCTTCCAGGAAACACTGAAGCTTTTCCAAAGTCAGAAAGCAACTTTTTTATGTTAATATCACCTTTATGCAATGCTGCTACATTTACCAAATTCATTAAAAGGACTGCTGCCTCTACTTCAATGGTTCTTTGGCTACAAGGGGCAGAGTCAGGAAAGACTGAGGTGATGATGGTCCCAGAACACCAGATTGCCCGTAATAAGGAACATATTGGCAGTTAGGTGGTCCTGTACACTACAGCTATAACTGGATAAAAAAAAATACTCTTTGGATGGGTTGACTCGGTCTCTGGAATGCACTCCAATACTTTATTTTCATTTTCAGTAAGAATGTACTTTTAGGCTTAATTAATTCATATGTACCTTGGCAACCCACAGTTTATGTTCAGTGCTCCAGTGATCCGCTGCTTCCTGTTAGAGTTAAGCTGGGTATACACGGTTCTATTTTTTACATTCAACCGCGGGGGGAATGTAAAAAAAAAAAAATAATAGAACAGATTTCTTCATATACGCTTACAAGCTTTGATCTAGGAATCTTCTGCTGTCTCTTTTGTATTCTGACAGTGGCTGCCAGCCATTGTCAGAATACCTAAATAGAGCCTGCAGCTGAATGGCTGCAAGCTCCATTCAGCCAAGAATTTTGCAACCTGCTCCTTCGACAACGGCAGACATTTTGCGAATTTTAGTCTGGTTCACAAAGAACGGGCTGAAATTTGCTGCGTGTATAGCCTTACTTTAGGTGTTGGGCATACTGTTTCAGGAAAGAATCCCCCACCTAAAGACTTGTGAAAGTAGCACTGTGAGGTGGCAAAATTTCATAGCAATGGACATGGGGTGACCTTTTTTTATTGTGATAAGATTGTGACTGGCTGCTATGGGCACTTCAGCTTTTCCTGTACTCCATCAGAGTTTTAGTGGCATGCCAGTCAGGTGATACTCTTTTTCTCCTCCCAGACTAAAATCAACTAAATTTAAAAAAACATTGTTAGCAAGCCGGACTCTCCTTTAAGAAATATGTGTCAACTACTCTAAAAATATTATTTATAAATTAATTGAAATAACCAGTCAGATGTTGTATGGTAGGTTGAGAGCTGAACTGGTAGACTGATATATACACATTCTGTTCAGTTAGTCATGTGATCAAGGCACTCATACCAGATAGTACAGCCAGGTCAGTTTGATTAAAGACCTCTTTGCCCATGCTACTGATTGGACAATGAAAAAGCTGCAGCACTCTGATTAGGAAATGTCTGTGGTCTTTGCTCCTGTAAGCATGTCTATAGTGTTAGACTAACAGCATTGTATAGAGCAATAGAGCTGTCTACTGATTGGCTCAGAGAGCTGCCCTCCCTCTCCCAGCATAAATGCTCCTGAGAATGGAAAGAGACTAATATCAAAACAGGTTCAGGTATTAGTAGCATAAATGTCTGTTATGTGTTTTTTTTTATACATAACTGAACTAAATAGTGTATTCTGCCTAGATTTCAGCCTGAAGTCAATGCATTAAAAGGTTAAAGGAGAACTATGGGGTTAAGGCTTTTCCACATAGTTGTCCTTAGGGTAACGGGAGGACATAAACTAGCGTCCTCCCGTTACCCTAAGCTCAGTATACTGCGAGCTACAGCTCACGGTATACTGAGACGCCGCAGCTGAAGCGGATCCCGACAATTGTGTCTGGATCCGCCCAGCTGTGTGAGTGACAGCTGGCTCTGCCTATCTAGAGGCAGAGCCAGCTGTACCTGCCCCCTCCCCCGTCCGTTCCACCAGTCAACGCTGGAGGATCGGGGAGGGGGAATCCAGCCACTCCCCTGTCATAGATCCTGTCATAGAGAGCTGTGACAGGATGGAGAAGTGAGCGAGCGCCGGTATGTGTTCGCTCACTTCCCGATCTACTGAGCCGACCTGTGGTAATTCTCCTTTAATGGATGACAATGCTTTGTATATCACATTATGTCTCACTCAGTTGCCTCTTTTTTTATTTATTGATTTATTAACTGGTGGACTCATCTAAATGCTCTGTGTTATTATGAATAATCTTTGTCTCGTTTGCATTACAGACGTTATTATAAAGAAACCGATGGATTGAAATTAGACGTAGGTGCCTACATGAAAGCTCTGGAGGTAAGACCACTTTTTACTTCTGTGTAAATACGGTTGACTCGTTACATCTCGGTAATCTCTCCTTTTATTTCACTAGTACGCCTGTGATGTCACGGCTGAGGTTGTGGGAAAGCCATCAAATAATTTTTTCATGTCTGCCTTGGATGAGATGGGAGTGAAGCCAGATGAGGTAAGATGCTTCAGAAGTGTCTCAGGACAGAACTCAGGGTGGTCATATATGGGCAGTTATATCCTTGAAAGTAATGGTGAAGAGATCTGCCTCTGCCCAGTGGCACATACACATTTCTTTAATCCCTCTAATTCTTCTGAATGAAAGATTTGGATTACTTGCAGGAAAATTTTCTAAGGAGTTGTAAACCTCCCTGAGCCATGGTCACCTCTGATTGCTAAAGGCAATGTTTATTGTCCCCAGGAGGTCAGGATTATTTAAGTTATCACAAATGATGCTCAAAGCGAGGATCGTTATTTTCCATAATTGGGTTGTTTGTTGTTTAATATGTTTTTATTATTATTTCACAATAATACATTCACATTAATAACATTCACATTTACACATTTCATAAATACAGGTATAAAATAGATTTACTCTCCATATGTATCTAGTGAGGATAACATATCTTTGTTTGACATAATCCGTTCAATAGCATTCCCTTCCATTCTTATCTAAACATATGGTTACTACTACTTTCACAATGACATTTATCACCTTAACCACAATTCTTCTCTCCCAGTCAATCCACTACCACTCCTTCCTTTATTTAGAGGGAAGGGGGAACATTCCCTGTGTGTTTTGTGCAAAATGACCACCATAAGTTAATACGATAAGTTGGCTTACTTACTGAAAGGTCTTAAAAATACTGTGGATCCTCAGTATAGTTGCAGATATGGTTGCACCATGCTAGTCTTGAATCCCACCTCTATTGTCTGTCATTTAACAGGCTGTCATGATCGGGGACGATGTGGTTAATGACATTGGAGGTGCTCAGAGCTGTGGTATACGAGCGGTACTCGTGAGAACTGGAAAGTACAGGTTAGATTTCTGTGTTTGTGAGTGAGGACTATGTCTCAATGTATTTATTTGTGTGTGAATACAACCTAAACTGCCTGTTTTCTAGGCCTAGTGATGAAACCCATCCTCAAGTGACTGCTGATGGATACGTGGACAACTTGGCCCATGCTGTGGACATCCTACTGGCTTCTAAAGGGGCTGGTCACTGACCCACTGACAACTTATTTCCTAGCATTACTGCCTCTATATGGCTTCAGAAGTCACCTCTGGAGGATACCATTAGGACTAATAATTTTATACTTGAATAAACAAAGCCTTGTATGTCACAGAACTAATAGGATACTTGAATGGAGGTACAGTACAAATAAATGTAATAGTTGGCCACGCGGACCTTTTTTGGAAGATAATATAAATCTGAAGCATTCAATTATCCAAACATGTGCAGGAAAAACACCTTCCCAGCTGGGTTTGTGAATCTGGCTGAAGAGAATTACAACTTATTTCACAGGTTAAGCAGGGGTCTGTCTCACCACTTGTCTTGATTTATCTAAATAAAAGTGGCCCCTTATGGCCCCCACCAACACCACCATGTACCAGCCCTCCCTTTGTCTGTGGTATATGGTGAATGATCTTGCAAACTATGACCGGTGTTTCTCTACTTTTCCATATATCCCTGTTGTCTCTCTTCTGTAAAGATGGCAGTTGTCCAAGAACAATGGACGGCGACGTCTACCTGTCCTCAAATACATCATTGCACCAATTGGACCTGTGTTGATGTTATCAGCGTGGTCCACAGGTTAATACAATGTACGTGCTGTGTTAGTTTTTTTCATTGAAATGGATGGATATGCAGCCACTCACACAGATATTTTAAGACATTAGCAAACTCTCAGTGGTCACAAATTCATCTGCCAGTATAAAGCACTCATTGGAGAAGTCCTACATGATCTAACTGTCTCAAGCTTAAACTGGGTGTATTGCTTGCAAAGATAGCATTCAGTATGGTCCTAACATTGTAGGGCTGTATTGGACAGTTAAAAAAACAATGGTGTTATAACTTTTGCCAACATGAACTCTATGGTCCTTATACATAAAATTGATTGGGTGATATCCTAGCTATTTGGCAGGACTACAGATGTCAGCATTTACCTCCATAGTACGAAGAATACTTTGCTAGGATATTGCATGTAGTCATCTGCTGGCTCCATTGACATGATGTTTGTGGATTACACTGCAGCAAATACTGTGTAACATCCAACTGTCTTTTTAAGGGTTGTGTCTTCAGTTATGTCAGACGTGTAGCCCAAGCTAACTGTCTTACATTAGCCTACGTTTGGGCATATTAAATGCCAGGAGTTTATCAAATTTGTTTAGCAAAAGGTGTGGTGAAAATTAAATTGTGTCTTATAACACTAACAGAGTTTCATTTTGAGTATTCTAATTGTTTCTTATTCTGGAATTAAAATTATGTTTGCCTGAAGAAAATACATTTTATTTCAACCATTATTAAATGCAGTGGTTTGTGTCTCCGCAATAAATCTGTCACAGGTTTTTCAAAGCTTCAGTAAAGAAAGTAATAATTTTTCAGTTATGCGGTGTAAAACCACCCTGTCAGGAGATAAAAAGTCAAGATCAAAGAGCCCTGCAATAGAAAAGCTCTAAGGCCTCATTTACATGAATATGCACAGCCATATAGCCTGCATCCAGGAGGGACATGTGCTGCGTGTAGCTGCAAGTAGCCACCTGTACATCTCCATGACAGGACACGGCTGTATATGGCTACACACTGACCAAAACCGGAACATCCATACATGTACAGATGCATGCCCTTGGAGGCACACAGTCTGCATCCAATGGAGAGCATCTACCTGCGTCCAAGGGAGGGCAACTTTCAAAGGATGTCACCAGCACGCCATAGTCTTTTGTGCAATCAGCAAAAGTCCAAAAAGCAAAAGACATCTTCTGTATTACAAGGGAGTGCAACCTCACCTTAGTTCCGGCACTGTAGCCTCTATAACACTCTCCAGCATTCTACACTTCTAGGAGTTTTGGGTGCCGCGTGCCATGGCTGCAGTGTGTTGCTGCAGGTTGCATGGTTCACGCCCACCAGCCTCAACAACATCAGAGAAAGAGGACAGTGACGGAGCTTTGCAATCATGTGACCTCAAAGAAAAAGTCAGGAAAATAAAGTTTTCACCTGCCAATTTAAAAGAAATCATCTGTGGGGAGTAAACCAGCAACGGGGGATCGACATTAAACAGGTATGTCCTTTTCTAGCCTTTCCCTCCATCATAAGGTAACACTTCAATAATAACTCAAAATGTGTGCTTTCCCTTTAAAAAAATGTCGATACCTTGAGTCCTGTTATGTCTGGTCTGTCTCGGTGACTGTGCACTTATTATTTTTTCCTTATTTGAAGTTATTTCTTATGAAGTTTCAAGATATGCACACTGGATACAGGTTCAAAGGACCACAGTTCACTATATTCCCAATTATGGCAGATTTAATCAATTCAGCTGAGCATTTTCTTTGGTCCATCAGATCTTAGGAAAAGAACCTCACAGAGCAAGACTATGACTGAATTAAACATAGAATATCAAATTGAACTTTAATGTGGATTTGGTGAGCTATAAGAAGGTGACATTGGCAGACACAGATCTTCAAAGCATGGGAAATAGGGGATAGCTGGCAGCTATGGCAGCCCTATGGAAAGATAACCTGGCCATGCACGTAATTTTAACCACTATGATTGGAATTGACGAAAGCAAGGTGCCATTAACTAATTCCCTCCATGGGCAAACTTTTATCGACACACTGAAATATATTTAAGACCCATCTCTGGGCAAAATCTGAAGTTATTTTTAAATGCCCCCCCTCCTAAGCATTTATTTACTCACCTGAGTCCACTGTCATGTGATCTGCAGAGTCTCTTCTGGGACTAATGACCAGTGATCCACCGTTACAGTCCAGGCCCTTGTCTGACTGTCTTGTTGCCGCCCCTTTTTGTGATGTCATCACACTGCTCCTGGAGTCTTCAGGACCTGTGAAAACCTCGCTGACTGCCAAAGGGAAGTATAAATGTTACTAGACAACGTTGCGGTCCTTCAAAGAAGGACCCACCCACTCTGCAGTCCAGAAGAGTCAGGACCTAGTGCATCATGTGACCTAGTGCATCAGGTAAGTAATTGGGGCTTTTTTTTTTTTAACAGATGGAATTAAGGAATTAGTTAGAGGGTGGAGGATGAAATAAACTTTATTGGGGGGTTACTAGGAGATGAGCTTTATTAGACTTAGAAAAAAATTGTGATTGATCATAAAGAGAAACATTGTTGAACAATTTGATAAAAAGCAACTGGATTTTTTTTCTGCCACATTTGATTGGAGTTTCTTTGACTCGATTCCCCAGCGGTTGCTCAAAAAAAGTGGATTGTACATTTTGATGGCACATGTGATCAAAATTGAGACTGAACGCTCGGTTTGTTACGTGTATGGCCAGCATTAGAGGTCATACAGACTCCTATACAAGACATTCTTAGCTTTCAGGCCCATGTCACACAGGCAATCCTAGCTCAACTATATAATAAAATGAAGTGACATATCACGCCTTGCAATACTGTCAGTGGTGGTGGCTAGCCAAGGACAAAAATCACACCTGTTCTTAAGGTATCCTACCCTGGGTGGCTGATAAAGCAAGGTGTCGCTATCACTGCTCCCTCATTGGTGAGCCAGTTTCTGAAGTGTTTTATTCAGCATGGGAGAGAGACTGTAGATCAGCGGTTCTCAACCTGTGGGTCGGGACCCCTTCGGTGGTCGAATGACAATTTGCCAGGGGTCGCCGGGAGTCTCCCGCTATTAGATAGCGGCTCCCAGCGAGTAAACCTTTCGCTGCGATCATTTAAAAAAAAAATTATTTCTGACATCGGAGCCCTGGCCACCTTAAGTCAGGAAAAAAAAAATCAGCATTGGAATGCATAGCTACATTCCTATTGGCTATTTCACTTTGCAATAGCAAACTAGCTATTGCACCCACCCACTGCTGCTGTCAATCAGCAGAGGGGGACCTGCAGTTCTCCATCAGGTCCCCATCTAGTGATTATCATGATTATTATTATAAATAAAAGCTGACACCCTCGGCTTGTGTTATATGGTTTGCCATTTTAGCTGTTACAACAGTGGTTCTCAACCTGTGGGTCGCTGTGTGATTTCTGCTGTGCTAGGTGAGAGTCCTCCTCAGCCCGCTCATAGCGCAGCAGTGTCAGTTCTCCCGTCACGCCGCCAGATGTCGCTGCAGCAGCCGCGTCGACCCTAAATTTTACCGTTGGGGGTCACCACAACTTGGCAAATGTTACCAAGGGGTCCCGGCCCTAGAAAGGTTGAGAACCACTGCTGTAGATCATCTTGCTGGCATTATACCACTATCCTTAGTTTTAAACCTCTATAGTTGAGCTCTCCTGTGGGGTGTTTGATACAGTTAGTGCTAAGCATGGATGGGTTTGTAGTATTGTGACTAAACATATTACAATCACATTGTCTAAATTGTTACATTTTTATTAATCATATTAAACTGATATCTAGTGTATCTTTATTCCTCCTCTGATGCCAACAATGCGGCATTATGCCTCCTCTGATTCCAGCAATGGGGCATTGTTCCTCTCACCGTAGCAATGATGGGGCATTATTCCTCCTCTGATGCCAACAATGCGGCATTATGCCTCCTCTGATTCCAGCAATGGGGCATTGTTCCTCTCACCGTAGCAATGATGGGGCATTATTCCTCCTCTGATGCCAACTATGGGGCATTATGCCTCCTCTGATGCCAGCAATTAGGCTTTGTGCCTCATCTGATGCCAGCAATGGGGCATTGTGCCTCATCTGATGCCAGCAATGGGGCATTACTCCTCTCACCATACCAATGATGGGGCATTATTCCTCCTCTGATGCCAACAATGGGGCATTATGCCTCCTCTGATGCCAGCAATGGGGAATTGCTCCTCCCACCATACCAATGATGGAGAACTATTCCTCCCACCATACCAATGATGGGGCATTATTCCTCCCACCATACCAATGATGGGGCATTATTCCTCCCACCATACCAATGATGGGGCATTATTCTCTTTAATACCAATGATGGTACAAATGACACAAAGAGCGTCTGGCAGGGTGGTGACATCTCCACATTTATAATTCCTGCAGTATGCCATCCAGCCCCATAACAGAGGATCTGTACCTCCATAGTCACCTGCGGCTGAGGGGTAAACAATGCAAGAGCCTGTGCATTTCCCCCAAGATGCACTGATCGTGGTTGCAATGCCCTGCGAGCCCGAATGCAAAACAAATTACAATTGCACATTTGTTTTCATTTTATCCTTCTTGGTGCTTTTAGATTGTAAGCTCTCAGGGGCAGGACCCTCCTAACCACCGTGTCTTAATTTGTACTGTGTTCCTTTATATTGTAAAGTGCTTTGTAAACTATTTGGTGCTCTCTAAATCCTGTGTAGTAATAATATGTATAATTATGTTTTACAAAAAAAAAAAGGGGGGGGGCTATGTCTATAACATATGCGGGTGTTGTTATTTTTTAGGGGAATATTTTTTATTTTTAATCTCCACAAATGATCACGTGTGGCAAACAAATTGTGTCACTCTTTGCAAGTCTGTCACCCCTTGCATGCACATAATTCTGTTAGTATCATACAAGCAGAGACCTGTTTCCCTACTTCTCTTATCATCTTCCCTTCTTGATGATCCTGTAACTAGTTGGCACTCACCCAGCGCCCCCATGGCATTATTGTGCGTGACACTGCACCCCCCGTTGTCACCCAGCTCCCCTTGTGCTTATTTTGTTACTACAAGAGGATGCAGCTTTCCCAAGCTCTGTTTATGCTCTGTAGGCCCCGCCCACTGCACCCTCCCTTCGCGCTGACGTCATATCCGCGACCATGGGTGTGAACCAGCCGCTGATGGGAAAATTTACTTCGCTCCGCTTATGTCATAGGTTTGCCTGACCTCTAGCAGCATGAGTGAGACGGATTTCTGTCCTTCAGCACTCGGAACCAAGGAGCAGTGAGTAGGCTGGATAACAGCACGGGCGCCATATTGGTACACCCACAGACGGTTTCTGCTGTCATGTGACGCCACTGCTATTCAGATGTGCTATCCAAGAACGCCATATTGGTACACTCACATACACGTTCCCAGGCCATGAGAAGCCGCTGTTAATAGATTTGTTACGCTAAACCAAGTCACAATATAATAAATGAATAATAATTAAAGTGCACGTAAAGCCTAAAGTTTTAGATACAGTAAGGAGGGTTTTTAACGCCTGCTATTTTTTCTTTTCTTGTCTATACCCTCTTCAGTAGATTTCTCTTCACTTCAGGTCCGTGAGAATTAACAACAAGATAGGAAATCTATAGAAAGTGAGGGTTCCTCACTTTTCTTACAGTTCATCACTAAATGACGACCTAACGTTGTTCGTCTATCTCTTATGAATGGAGATACCTAATATGTGTCCAGTAATAGTTGTTTCCATACATAAGTATGTCCCTGTTTACGCTTTGGCATTGCGTGAATATGCCCCACAGCACGCAAGATCATGAAACTTGTTCACAACTTGCAATGCACTTGTTAATGGCACCCCAAACGTGGCTGGTAAAATGTGCGTTTATTCCCGCACGTGGCCGCTCGCTGCTGAAAATGCGCCATGAGCGCTACAGCTTATGTATTTGCCTGACGTGCAGCAATGGTGGCAAAAATGCATGTGATTGTGCACAAATGCGTGTTCGTGCTACTCGAAGTGTTAGGCGGCACATCCACAACAGCCTAGTCTTTGCGTCCTGCAGCCCTGCGGCGTGTTCAGTCCCTTAGCCAAGAAGTGAGTAGGTGTTCTGCAACCTTCACATGTCTGAGTTTATACTTGGATGCCTGTGTTGTGTATTCCTATCGGCACGATTGCATTCAACACAAGTTTTTTTTTCCCCCCCCCTATGGAACCGAAGTGAAATTTGTTAGCGGAACACTGACTGCAGCTAATCAGCAGGCACCGGATGCCAGAATACAATAGCCCAGTGGGGCAGATTTCCCCATCCACACTGAACAGGGGCTGAACGAGGAAAAAACCTACAGGTGTATGGCCAGGTTAAATCTTCACCTGCAAACTATGTTATCTATTGAAATGTAGTTGAGCCGGCCGTGATTTGAGCCGAGGCAGGGCAGTTTTGTGGCGCATTTAAAAGATTTTTACATTTCATATAACAAGTCCATTTCAGATGTATATTGCAAAATTTTTTACTGTTATGCCAATTTAATAGGCAGTTTTCTGTCTTTCCTAATTGGTGCCCTGTAGCTGGGATGCTGTCTATAGTCGTGAACTGAAAAGTTTCCAGGAGTACGGTGATGAAGGGGAGATCTGGTAAGTGACAGAATGTGTAATGCGGTTTCTGTGTAACTTTGTATTACATTGATTTTATTCGGGTCCTTTTATTCACGTGTTTGCCCGTCTGAATGAGCCCCAAGTGATCCTGTGGGCTCAACGTACCTTCCCTTCGTACATAAAGAGATTGTCAGATGGTTGTATTTAAAACGTTTTCATCTTCTTTGAAACAGGTTTGGTGAAGGTAGCATGAGTCGAGTGGTTCGATGGATAAATGCCCAGAAAATACCTCGTAGCTCATCAATACTGGATATTGGCACTGGGAACGGCATGTTATTGGTGGAATTGGTAAGAAAATTATTGATGGCAGTGATTATATTTTTAAGAAAACATTGTTGGCAAAGTGACTGTGTCTCTGCAAAGGGGCCCCCACTCACCCCCATATACTCGCTTTATCTGCGCTCTGACATCAAGCCATCCTTGTCATAGCTGTTACTGAAGTCACCTGTGTCTGGGAATAGGGGGAGGGGCCAGTGATTTCAGTGTCTGCTGTGACAAGGAAGGCGCAGCGAGGGAGCACAGGTAAACGGCGTAAAAAGGAATCAGGGGACTCCTTTTATGTTGTATTCGCTTTACCTGATCTTCCTCACCATGGCTTACTTATTGAGCCAGCACTGAAATCATCGGTGTCTGTGAATAGGGGGAGTGCTGACGTCACCCCCTTGGTCATTAGTGCTTAGCAATTGGCTGCTAGGCTTGCACGCTGTCACAGGAAAGCAGGTACACGCTCCCTCATACCTGGAAGTACCAGGTAGTGTCGCCGGCTGAGAGGGATGAAGGGCCGGCGGGGAAGCACTGGAAAGGTAAGTATAAAGGGGGATATGTGTCTCTTTGCAGACGCACTGCATGGCAAAGGTGACAGTGCCTCTTTAACTATGTATTTAGATGTAAATGTTTCTGATGCAGGTAATCCCTTAATCAGGGTAGTGTCAGGTCTTTGCACGATGGATTAAATTGATGTGCATCACTCTTTGTTTTAATGACAGGCAAAGGCTGGATACAGCAATCTTATGGGCGTGGACTACTGTGCAGATGCCATAGCACTTGCTAGAAGTATATGTGAACAAGAAGAGGTTTCCCAGAGTGTAAATCTACAGGTCAGAACTATATATATATATTTTATTTATTTATTCATTTTATTGCTTCCATTTTTGTTTTGCAGCTGCTGAATATTCATCTCATCATTGTCTGGGATGCACTCATGCAGTTGTGAAATGTTTTTATACAGGCTTCCTCTTTTTCCCACCAGCCTTGTAATTTGGAAAGTAAAAACAGAATGTGTCATTTATAATAGGACAATGTATGTATTGGGTTTCCAAAATCTATCAAATAAAGAGGGAATATCTTCATGTTACCCAATGTAACAACACTGAGTTGTCCCTACACCTTTTCTGTCCTTCCCCTCAAGTGTCCGAAGGTGTAAGACAAATAAGTATGGCAATAAATATAGTGCAACCCCGTGACCTTTTGCTGTCCTAGGCACATACCTTTGAGTGCCTTTTGTATCCCTGATGAAAAACAGTGTGCAGATACACCTCCAGTGATAGGGTGGAATTGATTATACTTATCTTAGAGGGTCAAAGAACCTCAGTGGTCCTACATACCACCACTTCATCAGGTATAAGTGCTATGGTGTGAATATATTACAGGTAATCCAGATTGGTCTATGCTTTAAATTGCTTATATAATGCCAGTAAAGTAAACATTTTTAAACCATTGAGATCAGTGTAATTGATTCCCCTCTGCAAATTATTTTTCCCAGGATTCTGTTTCACAAGGGATTTAATGCAACCTAAAGGACCATGTTGGGACAGATATAGTCCCCTCAGATGCTATGTTAAGCTTGCTTAAACCCATCGGGTATATCAGACTTCCAACTGCGTAGTAAACCCTTTTATATACTGTACTCCATATGGCTTCTTTTTAATACTTACCTTTTTTTGAAGATACAAACTACTTCAGTACAGTGTGCCCATACACCTTATAATTATCTGCAGATTTTCTGTGGTCAGATGGAAAAAGTGCAACAGATTGGCCCAGGTGGAGATTACTCCATCCACACAGTTAAGTGTAGATGGAGGAATGGAGGGACCTGGCTCTGGTGCTCCACCACTGTCCTGAAATCATTAGTCGATATTGTTTTAGAAAAACTGTCACATGACAATAAACAAAAATGTATCAGCACTTGTATCTGTAAGTACTTGGACAAGTATCAGTGCTTGTACTTGCAAAAATGGTATCGGTGCATCCCTACTATATATTTATAAAATCAAAGTCATACATTAAAACAGAGATGTACAAATCCCAGGAGCTCCGTGTGCTCCTAAAGCTGGCCATACACCTTACAATTATCTGCAGATTTTCTATGGTCAGATGGAAAAGGTGCAACAGATTCCTCCATCTACACCTAACTGTGTGGGTGGAGTAATCTCCACCTGGGCCAATCTGTTTCACTTTTTCCATCTGACCACAGAAAATCTGCAGATAATTGTAAGGTGTGTGGGCACCTTTACAAATGACAGCTGTCTCCTAACTTTTGAATTTTTCTCTAGTCTTGGAGCTGGAAAAGTATCTGTACTTGTACCGAGTACGGTACTTGGTATCGGTGCATCCCTACATCTAACCATGTTGCTTAATTAGAATTTCAAATCTTAGGACTTAAAGCTGCTATTAGTCTGTTTTTAAGCAAATAAACCATTAGTTCACATAATGTTTCCTCATCAACAAGACTTGAATGATTTTAGTATAACACTTAAATGAGAAATTGAATCTGGAAGTGCAAACTGTGTTTATAACGATCGAAATCTTTTAGGAGAAACTAATACCACAAACTGGTTGCTGCATTCCAAAGCCCTCACCTCTCATCATACATCAACGGGCCATACACATACACACTTTCTACACAAAAACTACAATTGAATGCTCAGCAATAAAACAATAACATGTATGGACTAGCCCCAGGCTTATTGTACACCAGAACCCAGACATAGGAGCAGGCTGTCTCAGAAAAAGAGATCGCAGTGACATTGTCTGCAGGGCAGATTAATCTTTTTTGTGAGTGCGGAGGTCACATACACAGCAAGTCAGTTGTAAATTACAAGCTATATTGGCAAGGCATTGTATACATTACCAACTACAAGCTACCTGGAAGTAGATTATCCATTTGGATATAAGGAATACAAAGTGCATTATGAAAAGGAAGCATGTAACAGTATTATCACAGTGCAGGAGAAGTAAAAAAGATAGAAACCATACACTTTAATTCAGTGTGTTTAGATAATTTGTACATGCATCTAAGAATGATCAATAAAGGAAGATATACTGTTTTCGGTTTTAACTGTGCACCTGCATTCTACTGTTGATTGATGTCATATTTAGGAACCAATTAAGTAGAAGTTAATAGTGACATTTTTGAGCACTGTACCACTGTACTAAGAATAATGCAGTTTCATTTTATATCATGTTGATATCATGCTGTTGTGTCTTGTTGTAGGTCACAGATTTTCTGGGCTCCTTCAGTCCTTCAGAACAGTTTGACATCTGTCTGGATAAAGGCACGTTTGATGCAGTGAGTCTGGATCCCAGCAACACACAAGGAAAACGTAGTCAGTATTTAAATGTGCTTTGTACAGTTTTAAAACCCAAAGGCCTTTTTATCATCACATCCTGCAACTGGACCAAAGAGGAGCTGATAAAACAGTTTGGCAAAGGTAAAGACTTAAAAAAGAGGCAGGTGTACAGATATATGTGTATATCACATGCTACTGGGTGACACGAGTGGTGTACGCAAAGAACCCATGCTCTATGTGTACAGGGCAAAATGACTACTGGAATTGCCCTAAAGACATGCACAGTTCTATTTTTAATCTTTTGACATAATTCGATTGTCGCCTTATTAACTACATCAATCTAATAACACAAAAAGAGAACATCATGTGACATGAACTCAACAAGGTACAGGAAAGGTTTTTGCTGGTTTTATGCTCTGTGCTGACTCAATAGCACCACAAAATCCCTGAAGATTGTTTTTGGTCTATTATGCTGCAAACACTCCATTGCACCCTATGCCAAAGGATTTAAGCTGCACACGATGAGTTATGACACTACTTGTCTGCCTCTCACAGTTGAAATTGGGAATAGTCAGACCGGGCTTTGTTTTGCCAATTTCCCGATCTTTGGAGTTTTGGTGGTCTTGTGCCTACTTAAAGGGATTCTGTCACGAGAGAGTAATGGAGATTGCTATTTCTGAACTCTGCTTTGAGAATGTTCATTCCCTGGCTGTTATGTTGATGCTTTGGCTTTAGTGCCCTCTGAGTCACTAACCCTGCACTTTTCTGATGCTCTATTACTGCATTCTTGTTCCATGTCTCTGAATTAAAAATACCTAAATCGGGCACCGCAAGTTAACTAGCATTTTAAAAGAAGGTCTGCAATGTCAGCCCTCAGATGTCTCTCATGATGGGTCACTTTAACTGCTGCTATACTCAGCTGCACATAACTTTTCATTTTTCTTTCTTTTGGTGGTTCTGTCGTGTTGTTAAGCTGCTGGAAACGATGAGAGGAAGCGCTATCTAAGCTCCAAGCCAGCTTTAAGTGGAGCAGTAAAGAGCTTACACAGAGCATTGAACTTCCCATCCCCTTGTGACTGCACTCGTGCCTGAGAGGCTGATAAACAAGCTCCAGTGCTGTCATTGAGAAGTGAATCGCATGACCCTCCTTCCCCATTCATTAAACTACTTGGTATACCTCTTGGCTAAATATAACAATGGGATGTAGAAGCACCTGGGGAGGATGGCAGTTAAATAAACCTGGTACTTCTTTCTGCATGGACAAACACAAGTTCATTTTAAGCTTCATTTTCCTGTTTTGTGGACATTCAGTGTAATCCAGCTTGGCCTTCTGCTTCTGTAGCCCATTTTGTTTAAAGTTCATTGAGGGGAATTTATCAAAACTGGAGCAGACAAATTTTGTAGCAGCTGTGCGTGGTAACCAGTCAGCTTCTCCCTTTCATTTTTAAATCTAAACTGAACAAACTGAAGAGAGAAGCTAATTGGTAGCCATGTACAGCTGCTCCAGTTTTGATAAATTCCCCCCCATTGTGATCTCTGGGTACTGACTCGCTGTAAGCTTGAGCAATAGTGGTCACTGTCCTCCCTCTATAACATTTCCACTTACAGAACTTCCACTCACCTGATGTGCGTTCTCCTACACCAATTCTGTAAGTCTAGAGGCTACAATGTCTGGTCAGAAGTGTCTGAGATGCTTGAACCCCCCATTGTTAGATGCATGTCAGATCCTTGTGCACTCGTAACTACAATCAGGTTGTAACTCGCCGCATAATTTTGTACTATCTTTTACAAGCCATGCCACTCCCTACTCTCCTCTGTACAGTCCACCTAAAGACAGTTGTGGCCACCTAGAAGCTAATCATTTAGCATTCTGGGCACATTCATGATCTCCCTTTCTTATAATATTTCAGTCCTAGGTGTCCGTGGATATAATATTTTCACAATCCTACATAGCCAGTGCCCAGTTTGGTAGAAAATAATAACGGACTTCCTTCTGTTATACACTTATTTCTGAAGGGTTTTTACAGCACTAAGAAGTACATTAATTCAGTGGCGCTTGCTATGTTCCTACAAAGGCAAAATATTGATACTGCAGTAACACTTACCAAACAAAATATGCTGACAGGTTCTCTTTATACAGTTTCATGGCCCGGTTTTATTATCTAATGTCTTTTTTGTTTTTTCTTGCAGAGTTTGAAATAAAAGATGAACTACCCACACCCTCCTTCAGTTTTGGAGGACAGTCAGGTCACAGCGTTACGGCTCTGGTATTCCAGAGGAGGGACAACTCTTAAAGGAAACGGAATATGTCTTTATGAGACCGTGATCAGCCACTGAGTGGGAGACTGAACCTGCACTTATTTGTTCTGGACTTTGTGAACATGAGTCTCTAATACAGATATCACACCTGTAGATTTTTAGTAAAGTAGCTTTTTACACAACCGTTTATCGTCTTCTTGTGTCTTATTCAGCCGTTCAAATATATTTTTGATGCAGACTGTCACAAAACAACGTTTCAGGGCCACGCAGGGTCCCCCTTCATCAGGTTTTAGTGTGAGTATTTAGAATATACTAAAACCTGATGAAGGGGACCCTGTGTGGCCCCGAAACATTGTTTTGTGACAGTCTGCATCAAAAAAGAATATGGACTATTGACACAAGTCATAGGTGTGCTGGTAACATTTGTCATATATTTGAAGATTCACGGCACCATCCATGGTTACTACAGCACCCTTCTTTTATACATGGGGGTTCCGGGAAAGGAGTGCGGCAGTTCCTCTCTAAGATTGCGTTTATTTAGCAGGTCAACCCTTATTATAAGATTTTTAGGCGGTGTCTATTGGGTATCATATTTACAAGACATGTGCATTGGTGACCGCATATGAAGTTTACCATCTATCACTAGAAAGCAATGAATTGGAACTGAGTTTCAAATGTCACTTAAAGGGACACTGTCATGACAGAAGTATGGGGCTGCAATTGCTGGTCTCCATCTAAAAAAAAAACACCTTGCTGCGTCGTATTTTGATTTCACAGAGCTGGAACAAGTTTGCTGTACATTAGTTCCATAATTCCTTATCTGTATACTTGTTTTGGGTCAGCGAACACAACAGCAGTGAAGTCATAACTTCAATATGAGAGTCAGGAATCTAACATTTCTAAAGGAGGGTCCAGAAATAGCCTCCATGATTCTATCATGACAGGTTCCCTTTAAAGTAAGAGTAACCATACATCTTATTTTCCACATCCACACTAAACAACATTGATGGAGGAAGCTCCACCGCTGGCTATTGTATACAGTGGTGCTGCTGAACAGTGACTGCATTTGACAGAATGCGGAGAGGGAAGGAATCCCTGCAAGGGGCAATGACTGACAGTCACTGCCCAGTGCTGGGAGGAGCAGAGACTGAGAACTCTCTCAGTCTTAGAGCCGGCGTGGGGTGCTGCAGCAGTCCCACACTGGTTCTAAGATTGAGAGCTGAGCAATCATGTCACCGCTCTGCTCGAAGAGCACAGAGTTAAAGAATCTGGGGAGGAAATGACTGACCATCACTGCCCAGTGCTGGAAGCAGAGGCTGAGAACTGACTAATCACGAGTCACATGATTGCTCAGCTCTGTCTGAGCCAGTGTGGGACTACTCCAGTGTCCCGTGCTGCCTGTAAGCACCAGAAAGAGTATGTTTACTCTTCCTGTACTCCTTTAAGGGGCTGAGTGGTGGATTAAAGAAATGTTTAAAAAAAATATTTGTGTTATGATCTTTTTCCATCAACAACACTGATAAGAAGTTCTATTTTTACTTGTCTGGCAGCAACCTTAGTTTGCTGAATATAAACAAGGCATGGGCACCTCAACATGGAGAAATAAGAGTACATTTTAACATATCTGTAGACATATTAATTACAATTTGATGTAAGCTTTAACATGTCAGTGTAAATTCTAAATATTATCTGCAGCATTTGTAGAAGTAATACCAGAAGATTCCACTATAGAGGTTCTTAGTTTAGGTGTTTGTCATAGGGTGACAATGCTCTGTTCCTGTCCTGCAAGTGGCAAATTCAACACATTTCACAGGCATGGTTCATCGTTCTGGTGGTGGTAGTGGCCCCTCTTTTTCAGGGTGGCGTGGCGTTTCAAACCAGTAGGCAGATGGGGATACAAACGCGAGGTATGCAATGGTGGGTGAAGAAGGGGTGGGCTTCTGTGACTTACCGTGGGGATAGTGGAGGGCAGCTCTCAGCGATGACGGTGCGGCCCGTGTGGTGCCGCGGCGGTGGGCCCTGGGGTGGTCCTCAGGAGTGCTGGCACAGGTGTCCTCTAGTGGTAGGTGCTGTGGACCGGTAGAGCGACGTGTTGTCCTGGATGGGGGAGCTGGAGAGCGGTTAGAGGTGCCGGACTGTTCAGCTGCAGTGGAGAAGGATTCACGCTGGGGATTTCGGGCATCCCGACGGAGCTGTGACCTGCAGGCTTTTGCTGGAGAAGCCTGTAGTGGGGATGTGCGGCGTGAGCCGTGAAGAGCGGGTCATAGGTAGAAGTTCCGGGGGTTGGAGCCTGGTGTCCAGGAACGAGCGGCGTTCGTGGACGGGTGGAGTGTAGAAGACACTCTGAAGAACCGGTCTGACGGCGACGCGTTTCAAAGGTTAAACCTTCTTTTTCAAGCCGATGTGGGGGCCCCCCGGGTTGCAGTGAAGCGGATGGGGTGGAGTGGTGGTGGTAGTGGTCCCTCTTTTTCAGGGTGGCGTGGCGTTTCAACCCAGTAGGCAGATGGGGATACAAACGCGAGGGGGTGAGGTATGCAATGGTGGGTGAAGAAGGGGTGGGCTTCTGTGACTCACCGTGGGGATAGTGGAGGGCGGCTCTCAGCGATGACGGTGCGGCCCGTGTGGTTACAAGCGAATACTCACCCAGACTCAGGTGAGTACAACACTTACACCCCATTCTACCACATTTATTGCGCTAGGTAGTGGCGCTTCCGTCTCCAATTTTTGTTTCCCTACAGTACACGTGTTGGACACCCCAGTCCAGACAGAACGGAATCCGCACACCTACGCCACCACCCCGTTTCCCCCCCGCGCCCCCCGTACTTATACCTACCATACTACAAGCGTTAACTGGTGTACCCATCAAGTACTGCCTCCCTCCTCCGCAATTTCCCCGTACCTCTGATAAGCGCCATACAAGGGCTAAAACTCTCAATTTTTCATACTGTCAGCTACACAGCACCTTGGTTGCTAAGATGCTCACACCAGTACGTGTCCCTGGTTGCCATGGCGTTGTTGCCTGCACAGCATCCTTTGTAGCTAAGACTAGAGCTGCAGCTAACGATTATTTTCAAAATCGATTAGTTAGCCGATTATTAAGTTCGATTAACCGGTTAATCGGATAAACTATAAAATAAAGTTTAAAAAATGGCTCCAGTGATAGGACTACTAGTTTGTATTAAGGTTGTAGTCCATCACAGGAGCAAGCTTGGAGCGGTGGAAGTAAAAAAGAAAAAAAGATAGTGTGGTGTGCAATATAGTGAAATGGAAAGTGTAAAAAAAAAAAGAAAAAAAAAGTGTGGTGTGCAATATAGTGAAATGAAAAGTATAAAATTATACAGCAATGAATGCAGAATGACACCGGCTATAGAGGGCTACAAAACTTAGCAAAAGCACATTATACAGCACAATGCAGAATACCGCCAGCTATAGAGGAATACAACAAATCCCAGCAATAGTACATAATAGCTGGCGGCATTCTACATTGCGCTGTATAATGTACTATTGCTGGATTTTGTAGTCCTCTATAGCTGGTGGTATTTAGCATTGTACCACTTTATAATGTATTATTGCTG